ATATTCATTAGGGTTTTGATTTTTAAATTGTAATTTCGTTCCCTTCCGTCACACACATCAATTGTACATAGCGATTTTCCAAGCGGAGCTCAGATGTGGCACAAGGCCGAAAGTACGGGGCACTCAGTGAGGATCGAACTCACTACTCAGTAGTAATTGTTCTTGCGAGACAAGCTTGTTAACCATTACACTACTTCTAGGGGCCCCACATTAATTGTACATATGAGGGCTAATTAGTTTTTTTTTATTACTAACACTATTTTCTTTAGTTTCTTGTACATAGATTATTTCATATTGTAATTAAATACTGGGGTTTAGATCTTAAATTGTTGTTTTATTCCCTCATAGCAAAGTATTGTATATATGGGGACTAGTTAGGACTTCATGGGGCTTATACTACATGTAGTAAGAATGGTAAGTAAGAATGCGTTGCTTTCATGTAAGGAATAATGTGGTATGTTGTTAGTCGGTGATCGTGTTTAGCTAAGTTCAAATTTAAAACAGATGAAGACTGTCATTTTCTCCATATCCCATTTTGGCCTTGTGCAATATTTCTGTATATAATGAGGAATAAATATCGCTCTTAATGCATATTAAAATTTGTCGTTTTTCCAACTCAAGTATGACAGGATTTTTAAATATATACTCTTCGTTTATTTTTATTATTATTATTTTATTTGACTAATCTCTAAATACCCGAGGTGTTATACTGCCTTAACTCAAATCGACATCGACAGTATGATTCCTTCTCAAGAGCTGGCGCTTTATACAGAAAGTGTCGCTTCAGTCTATCGACTATTCTTTCCGTTCTATTCACCGTTCTAGAAGAGGTTATTAAATATGATGCTATTGTCTTTTGTTGTACTATGTTCTTTCTTTAGAAGCTGCGTTCATGCTCATTGAAGTGTCCCGGCCAACGTACAATGATTGAGAAATTTCAACTGTCGAATTCCGCTTGAAATTAAGCCTCCCAATACGTTTCTTTGAGAGACTATTGTTCGGAATATCGTCCTCATCTTTGTCTCCATGTTTATTACAACGTTTCGGTCATTGTACGCCCCGGCCTTCTTCAGGTGGTTGGAATGTCGAAGTGAACCCTTTATTTCGCTCGCTGGGGTAGACTGTTCTAGTTCCACGTGCCGTGTCTAATGGATGTCAGTTATCAGTTATCTTCTGTTAATTCCCCTCTCCAAGTTCTCCACTGCCTTAACCAGGTATTGAACTCACAACTCTTTGGGTAAACTGTTCTAGTTCCACGTGCCTTGTCTAATGGATGTCAGTTATCAGTCATTTTCTGTTAATTCTCCTCTCCAAGTTCTTCAATGCCTTAACCAGGTATTGAACTCACAACTCTTTGGACCATTATAGTAGACTTGAAACTGTCGGCTGCTTACGACTTTGAAAATAAATATAGCATGCTTATATTCCAAAGAGTTGATATGTTAGGATGATTCTTAGAAGAGATCTGAACTCAACGTACTAATGTCGTTGTCATGATAGCATTCATGTTAATCAATTCTCTTTTAATTTCTGAAACGGGAACACGGGCGACTAGATTGAAATATCAATTCTGTTTGCGTACGTCCAAATCTGTACTGAAATGAGATGGGAGCCATATTGGAAAGTGAATAAAAATAATACATGAAAAGGAAGAGAAAAACACGTCATTGAAAAGACGTTTTTAGTTGTACGGGAGTAGATGCAAACTAGGAATCTAGGTGAGAAGGATTATTAAAAATGAAGAACAAAGAAAGAGATAGAGAAATACATATATTTTAACTTTGTTTTTATATTCGGTTCTTTTTTTCTTACTTACTTTATTTATTTATTTTTACTAACTCATTCGTTTTAGTTTCTTTTTTATATTCCTTTTCTATCATTCTTTCTCACATTCTTTCTCGCTATATTTGTTTGTTTTTTTCTTTCTTTCGTTCATCATATATATATATATTTAATTAATTCATCGAGTCTGATAGAAACCTCAACAGAATGCAGAAAGCACTGGACGGTCGTTTCGTCCTATATTTGGGACTCATCAGCAGTGCGCATCCACTACCGAGAACTGAGACCCTGACAGTTAGATTGTCAAGCGAACACCATACCAACTGTTCCAAATGGGACTCGGTGATGAAGAGATTCCAAATCAGACTCAACTTAGCGCCGCTCGCTCACATATTCCGTGGCGGAACTCTACTGAGTTCTCTGTAACCATAGGACTGTGCCCCCCTGGAGCCACGACTACTCTCACCAAGCCGCTCCATATATATATATATATATATATATATATATATATATATATATATATATATATATATATATATATATATATATATATATATATATATATATATATATATATATATATAGGTAGGTGGTGTGTGGATAGTGGCACGGATTGCGGAATTGAGAGCCGAGATCGAATTACAGTTGAATCCATAACATTCACAAATACCCTTGGGTAAGGTACGAATCCTCCTCTTCTCCCGCCTCGAGTGCCCTAGCGTGGTTTACTAAGTATAAGGTCAAAAGTAAATAGCAGGACAGACTGGGTTCTATACCTTTGGTCTAGGAGAAGGGCAACTCTGAACTCAAAACCTGCGGTGGGTGGTTTGAGTACCTTGTGGCACGTAGTGCACCAGGTCTCTGTATTCAGCCCTTCAAAAAGTGTAGTTGTTTTTCACAAAGCCTTCCCGACTATAATCAAATCATATGTGCTGGCGTCTGGCCTGTCGGTTCCTAGGAACTGAGCTGCTTGACCCTCATACGTCTAATACGACAGGAGAGTTCACTATATATATATATATATATATATATATATATATATGTGTGTGTGTGTGTGTGTGTGTGTGTGTGTGTGTGTGTGTGCGTGTAGGTAGTAATCCAGTATCTGTCTATATTTCTGAGATGAGGTACTATGTACACTATATACATTATTCGGACTATTATCCTCATCTTTGTCGCCATATTTATTACAACGTATCGGCCGTTGTACGCTCTGGCCTTCTTCAGGTGATTGGAATGACACGTGGCACTGTGGATAAAGGCGTTAGTTAGATCCAGTGAGAGGACCCAAAGAGTGTGAGTTCAATACCCGGTAAAGGCAGTGGAGAACTTGGAGAGGAGAATTAACAGGAGATAGCTGATAACTGACATCCATTAAAGATGGTACGTGGAGCTAGAACAGTCTACCTCAGTGAGCGACATTCCAACCAACTGAAGAAACTCGGTGTGTACAACAGCCGAAACGTTATAATAATTATGGCGACAAAGATGAGGACAATAGTCTGAATAATGTAAATATGTAGTAATCCGTTGGTATTATCCAAGTGAGTCCTAGAATTTTAAATATTAAGTCTGAAAACTGACTAACAAATAGCAATCAATGTTTATTTTCATTAAACAGAGCAAAAATATTTCATACATTTGGAATTAAGATAATATTAGTGAATGATCACTTTCACCCGAGAATTTTAAATATAAAATTCAGAGGATATTTTTCACACTGCTTAATGTGTCAATTTGCTGAACAGGAATGGCGATAAAAAGAAAAAGAGAAAAAATTACGGAAGCACAGGGGAGATAGTAAGGAAGACATAAATTAGTAAGGGTCAGAAAGGATAGAGAGAGGAAAGGACAGAAGATGTCATAGTTACAGGAAGTAATGTGACATATATATATATATATATATATATATATATATATATATATATATATATATATATATATATATATATATTTTGAAACAGGACAGAAGCGTATTAAGGCATAAAAAGCAAGAATTTTTATATTGTAGGCCATGGTAGATTTAAAACAAAAACACACACCAGTCGACTGGTTTCGTCCCCCCTCATCAGAACTGTTAACGGGGAACTAAAATTATGAAGAAAAGGAAAAGAAAAATCTGTCATGGATGACAGGAATGTGTGGACAGAGAAAAAAAATTGTTATAAAAATTATACCAACCAAGATGCTAGAAGCGCAGCACAGCAAGTCCAAGCAAACAATCTCTGCCTGGACCTGATGTAAAGCGTCTCCAACACCTTAAGATGGACTGAAATCCATTGCACAAGTGGGATTCTTTATAAAGTGATCCGCAATCGAAGACCCATACGTGTTACGAATGGTATCGCCCAAATATATATATATATATATATATATATATATATATATATATATATATATATATATATATATATGAAATGGACAAAGACCGACATTTTTCATGTTTATACGTTCTTTTTATAGATACAAATATTTAAGTAAATGCTCTGCATATAATAAACAGTATTAACGACATTTACCGGCCTGAATGTCTGAGAAATCTTTGTAGAAAGTATGCGTCCTTCGATAGGAATCGAACCTGTATCCTATACGGAACCGTCATATAGCCTGACGTGCTTTTATCGATTGAGCCACAGAGGAGCGTTTCGGTTTGTGAGGTCGATTTTACTGTTTTTAAACTACAATTCTCCATGATTTTCTCCTGTAGATTCATATCTGTTCGATGCGTATCCAAATGTAAACAAATGACTTCATACATTATGGACCCACATTTTCTATGAACATTTCGCGGACATTCAGGCCGGTAAATGTCGTTAATACTGTTTATTATGAATAAAGCATTTAATTAAATATTTGTATCTATAAAAAGAACGCATAAACATAAAATGTCTTAATATGTATATATATATATATATATATATATATATATATATATATATATATATATATATATATATATATATATATATATATATATATATGTATATATATATATATATATATATATATATATATATATATATATATATATATATATATATATATATATATATATACATATATATTAGGTTGGTGCAAAAATAATGACGTAATAATGTCGTTTTTTTGACGTATTTTTAAAGTCAAAAACGACATTATTACGTCATTATTTTTGCACCAACTTAATATATATGTATATATATATATATATATATATATATATATATATATATATGTATCTACGTATAGATAGATGTGTATAGATAGATGTGTATAGATAGATAGATAGATAGATAGATAGATAGATAGATAGATAGATAGATAGATAGATAATGTAAAGACGGGGTCAATAGACGACAAACGTAGTGATGAAAGAAAGAAACGAACAAATATAGCGAGAAAGAATGTGAGAAAGAATGAGAGAAAAGAAAGGGAATGCAAAAAAAGAAACTAAAACGGATGGCTTAATACAAAATATAGAAAGAAAAAAAAATAAAGAACGAAAGAAAACGAATATAAAAACAAAGCTAAAAGTTGATTAATTTCGTGATGGAAAAGAGGCAGAAATACAGAAAGGACGAATGAGAGAAAGAATGAAAAAAGAAAAAAGAAAGATTATACATAGACACAAAGTTTAATGGCAGATTTGGGAAAGAAAGAAAGAAAGAAAGAAAGAAAGAAACAAACAAACAAACAAACAAACAAACAAAAAAGATAATTCAAACAAAAAATCGAACAAAAAAAAAGACACAAAAAAAAGAGAAAATATATTTGAATATAAGAAAATTGGAATGAAAACAATAAAGGGAAAATTTTGAAACGAAAATGGTGTAAAAGCCTGACTGAATGGTTTGAAATAAAGAACTGAAGAAAAGGAACATAAAGGAAAAAAAACCAATCAAGTAAAGAAAAGAATCGTTAAGAATAATAAAGAAATACAGCGAAGGATCAAAATAAATATAAAGAAAAAAAGGGGAATCGAAATAAAGAAAAAAAGGGGAATCGAAATAAAGAAAAAAAGAGGAATCGAAATAAAGAATGAATATATTTCAATTTGACTTAGATTTTCACTACTGCTAAAATATGGTTTTAATCTTTTGCGATAACCCCAAGTCGTTGAGCGGGTATCACAAGCAAATCCAATTTAAGCTGAAGATGTCGAATGTCTTCCGTTTAACGCGTGGGTATTTTCAGCTTCTTAACCCCTCTCCCCACTCTTCTACAACGTGGACCTGGTGTGTAATATCCGATTTGAGAAGTCAGCTGAAATGCGCCTCTAAAATCTATATTCAAGGTGAGAAAAAGCAATCAGAATTCTCTTTTGACTCAAAAAGATTCTTCGTTTATCAATCCGAAAACGGTTGTGCCAGAAAAAAACAATGCATACTGACAGACCCCCTCCTCACCGAATGTACAACTTTATTGGATGGTTAGCCCCTCATTTCTGATTGTGGCTCTCGACATCTTCCTATATGTTGTATCTCTAAGCAATGCTTGTCTACCATCAATCCAGTCCCTGTTCTGCCATTAATTTACATGTTCTCTAAGCATTTTACTCACTGTTTTCCTCAGTTTCTCTTGACTACAATATGTCCTGTGAGTATTATATTCTCCAAATCCTTTTTTCTCATTACATTTTTTTTTTTAATCATTTCACCCCAGCAAGGAAATAAAGCCACTAGGACGCAAGTGGTTATTAAGTGTTAGAGAATATGAGAAAAAAAAAACTATTATTAAAGAGAAAAAACAATAAAAAAACAAGAATTAAGATAACAGAACGTAACGATTGACATTGCATTTAAATACTTTAAAGATCAAAGTTGACTAGAAAGCAAGAAATCGGAAGAGAGTTCCGCAAAAGAGAAGACCCTTCTAACATAGAACTTACGGTTACATACTGCAATTTCAATTGTAAAATGATGAGACGTTGCCGCCAATATAGTACTGCGTTTAAATTCATAGTCTAGGTACCACAGAGTAATGTTCATAAGAACAATCGCCATGAAATTATACATATTATAAATTATCCATATTATATTATTATTATTATTATTATCCATTAAATAATCCAGGATTATTAAAAATGAAGAGCAAAGGAAGAGATAGAAAAACACACACAGACACACACACACACACACACACACATATATATATATATATATATATATATATATATATATATATATATATATATAAGGCTCAAAACACTAATATTCCATGGCTATTATTTATTATATTGGAATCGTAATCACGATCCAATTCATCCGATCTACAAATTTAAAAAGCTGTTTGAATTTGTAGGTCTGATGAATTGGATCGTGATTACGATTCCAATGTAATAAATTATAATCATAGAATATTCTTACTCTGTCCTGAAAAATGGAGTTCTATCTGGAATCTATCCTCTTGGGAATTTATGTATATAAATATACATATATATATATTGACCACTAATATTATCTATTTATTTCACTCTCTCTCTCTCCCCCCATATATATATATATATATATATATATATGCACTGGACTCTCCAGTCGATTTTCCGAAGTTTGAGGGTCAAGCAATTCAGTTCCTAGGAACTGCTTGTCCCTAGAAACCGACAACCAGACACCTGCTTTGATTATAGTGGTGAAGAAAAAGTGCGGTGCAGAACCAACCACAATTTTCTGGTGCACAACGCGCCACAAGGTCTCCAAACGACCTTCCATTTTGAATTTAGAGTTCTCCATCTCCTAGACCAGTGGCCATTCTCTTAAACCACGACAAGAAGGTATTAGCACGTAAGTGAATGAACTGGATCCGACTGGAATTCGAACTCGGCTCTCAAATTCCTCAATCCGAGCCGCTATCCATTACTCTACCAGTCTGATAATCCTGTCAGAAAAAAATTATTAATGAAATCTTTAATGATTTATTGATTTCTTCCTTTGATCTATATGTAATATTGCTCTGTATTTTGAGATATTGAGCTCTATTCTTGGATCTATCTTAATATTTTATATATATTAAAAAGAACTATTTTATTATATATATATATATATATATATATATATGTATATAGGAGGTAGGTGGTGTAGCAGATGGTGGCTCAGATTGAGGAATTGGAGAGCCGAGATCGAATTACAGTCGAATCCATAACATTCACAAATACCCTTGTGAATGGTAAGAATCCACTTCTTTTCTCGAGTGCCCCAGAGTGATTTTCTAAGCATAAGGCCAAAAGTAAATAGCAGGACAGATTGGATTCTATAGCTTTGGTCTAGGAGAAGGACAACTCTGAACTCAAAACCTGCGGAGGGTCGTTTGGGGGCCTTGTGGCACGTAGTGCACCAGGTCTCTGTTTTCGGCACTTCAAAAAGTGTGGTTGCTTCTGCACAAAGCCTTCCTCACTATAACCAAATCAAATGTGTTGGTGTCTAGGCTGTCGGTTCCTAGGAACTGAGCTGCTTGACCTTCATACTTAGAATAAGACGGGAGAGTTCACTATATATATATATATATATATATATATATTTATTTATTCGAAAATTATAACATAGATATGTTATAAATTCACTACAAAAGTAGCCATTTTGTTTCAACACTTCTATATGTTGTATCTCTAAACAATGCTTGCCCACTTACTATACTTCACCGTTCCTGTTCTGCCATCCATTTAAACATGATCTTTAGAGAGTGTATTAGGGGTTTACCTCTCTTTCTCTTTCCTCAATTATGTCTTGGTTGTGTTAAATTCTCCGAGCCTTATTTTCTCATTACATACCTAAGTAATTAAAACTAACTAATCCTGATTCCGAAACATGTCTTTCACTGACAAACTCGTGCAGATTCGCTGGGTAGTCAACCAATTATTTAAGATTGGTTTCAAAATTCCTTATTTATATGTTGTGCTCTTTCACTTCGTTAGTGGTCGTGACTCTCCACATTATCCTATATGTTGTATCGCTAAGCAATGCTTGTCCACCTACTATACTTCCCAGTTCCTGTTCTGCCATCCATTTAAACATAATCTTTAGAGAGTGTATTAGGGGTTTCGCTCTGCTTCACTTGCCTCAGTTATTTCCTGTGAGTGTCAAATTCTCCAAGCCGTTTTTCTCATTGCATACCTGAGTCATTAAAACTAATTAATTCTGATTTCAAATACAAATGCATTTCTTTTCCATTACCCTTAAAACTTCCTGACATGTTCCGTCCATCGTATTCTTGGCATACTTTTTCGAGCATTTGTTGCCTCCAGGCCTCTTCTTCGTCTGGGAGAAAATTTTCTAGCATTCACTTCTATATAGGAGGGTTGATATTACGTAGCAGTTCATTCATTTATTTGTTTCTAAAGAATGTTTTCGCGTTTCTTAATACCGTATTTTGTTTTTTATACTATCTGAGATGCTAAAGACAGGGGAAAATTTACGCCCATACGACCCCGTAGTACAGACATACAGTTATGGCCCAGGTTAGGACCAAGGAAGAACAACACGAACACAAGAGTAGAAATAACGAAGGTATATTACACAAAATAATAATACAAGATGTGGAAGGTGTTAGTATGACTGTCAGTCTGATTGGGAGTGAACAACTATCAGCTCCAATCGATTCGCCTCGTCCGAGTTCCTCTCTGCTCAGAGGCAGAGAGTTTGACCGTCAAGCTGAAACGGCTTGACTCGATTCGGTATCTAGCCCCACACACGAGGGTTGCATGTGACACAAGGCCGAGTTTATCGTGGGTTTCCCGAGCCAGTAGGCTCGGCCAAAAAATGCCCGTAGAACCCGTTTAAACGGGATCGGGTTGGTCAACCTCCCAAACGAGACTCTGCCCTTCGGCGGAGCCTCGTTCGTGTTCATCTCTGCTCAGAGGCAGAGAGTTCGACCGTCAAGCCGAGAAGCTCGACTTGAATCGTCCCTCTCTCTTGAGAGGCGTAGTATACATAGTGTTAGGAAGGGTTCATTCTGTAGTTATAGGTAAGGACCCATGACACATACCTATGTCATTTTTTAAAGTTGTGCTATATTATGCAATATCATTGATCTTGACCTGGCATCTCGGCCTCACTGACTTTCCCACCCTCGTAATGTAGCTTCTATTTTCTATAAATAATTTAATGGTAAGTGTGCTGATGACTCTTCCTCTTTGGTATCTAGATTTTATAAATTTTAGCGCAGTACTAGATTGGTGGCCCGTCCTGGGTATGACCATAAACTAGGTCCGTGTCCTGGGTAAGACGATAAACTACATCCGACAGCAAGGCCTCTGATGAGGAGGTTTTGAGGAACGTGGAACCACCTCTTAATTATTGATGTTTCCAGGTCCACCCTGACCCGGAGTTGTAGCACTTGTTAGGGTCTCAAATATGGGCAAATAGTTAACCCCCGAACTGGGGTCAAAACACTATGAAAGTGTAAAATAGGTTTTAATACCAGCAATAAATTTTTTGAAGAAATAAATATTACTAGTAATACATTTTTGAATAAAATAAATATTACCAGCAATAACAATCTAGTCGGCATTAAATAACCCATTCAGGTTGACAAACCGTAAAACTAATCGAACCAAACCAAACTAGATTGGCAGCAAGGTCCCAACATTTTATAATTGTTGTAGAGTGGTTTCACAGTGGAGGCCTGTATTTGTCCTAAGTCGGTCCTAAAATAGGTTCGACGTACAAAACGTTAGGAACTTGATATAATAGGTAATGACGCAGTAATCTAGTTGTGGTCAATGGTACTTTAGTATCCGACTAACGGCATCGACTGACTCAACAACTCACTGAGCGACTGGCGACTGCTAATATTCCAACTTATTATAGGTGGGAGAGTCTATTAACAATAGAATAGGTATGTTCTAGTATAACAATAATTTAAATGACTAGACGTATCCGTAAGTTGTATGATAATAGTTTCTTATCGCAATTCTCGCTTGTGGAACTCACTTCCGGTCACTTGCTTCCAATATCAATCTTTAGCTTCTGTTTTCCTGATTTCTGTTCTGTTATTGTTCTCTCTTAATAATATTTTGTCTTTTTCTAATATTCTTTCATATTCCGAAACTTTTTGATGTATTGCTTTGCTTGGGGTGAAATGATTTCTTTTTTTTTTTTTAACTACAATACAATGGCCTCCCTGAGTTTAATCCCATTCGCACTGGGGTAAAACAGAGTTAATCTCTTATGTTAGGATTCATACTTAATCAACAATCAGCCTTGGGGATGACGTTTCTTACGCCCTCGAAGCAACCATAGAAAAGGCATGAACTGAAAATTCTCTGTTCCTTATTTAATCATCCTGACTCATGGTTACCTCACCCGGACAAAAACTGAGATGCAGAGCAAAGTAAAAAAAAAAGATGTTAAAAAAAGAAGGAAAAAGAGAGATAAGGATAAAGAGAGAGAACAAAAGAACAAAAGGGAAACAGAAGGAGAGGAAGTGGGAGAGGAAACTAGTAAGAGAAAGAGAAGAGAATGCAAAAGAAGGACAAAATAGAAATAAAAGGAAAAAAAGAGAGAACAGGGGAGATGGAGAGTGAGAGACAGGGTGCGCAAAAAAAATGAAAGAGAATTAAAGAGAAACTGGAAGATTGAGCGCGCGAGAGAGAGAGAGAGAGGGGGGGATTATAACGAGATATTTGAAAGAAGAAGAGAGGAGAACGATAGGGAAAGAGAGATAAAATTAGAGAGAAAAAAAACAATATAGAGAGTAGGTAGACATAGAGAGGGAGGGAAATAAAACGATAAAGTAAGAGAAATCGAACACAAGGAAAAGAGAGAAAGAGAACAAAATAGAAATAAAGAACTAAGAGAGAGAGAGAGAGAGAGAGATTGAGCGAGAGATGGATAGAGAGTAACTGATAGAAAAAGATGCGGAGAATATCTTTATTGCACACCCCAATAATTGAAGAACTTGATGATTGACGTCATCGTTTGAAAGGCTGATGATTTTTTTTAGTTTTTGTTTTTGCTGTTCCGCTTTTCCATATGCCAGTTTCATTGCGAAATCTACAATTTGTTTTCGAATTCTGCAGAGTAAAATGATTCTTATCAAGAAATTAATTTCAAACTCTTTCAAAGAACTAAATAGAACAGAAACCGAACTGGTCATCAACTTGTTATTTCCGGATGGACAATGAAATAGAAAAAAAAAAACATAACATTAATCTAAAATTCAAGAAAATCAATTCATAATTGGAAAAGATATAAAAGGATTTCATATCTTTAATCAGATTCCTTGCGTACAAACCAATGAATATGTTAATTAATCCTAACTGAAATGCCAAACTAAATGATAAGAGGGTCTTGTCAGGAAGGCTGTCCTAAAAGATGGCGGAAGCGAAAAGATTACGTCTAAAACGAGGCTCGTTTGCCTAATAAGACGCATGTTTTTGATGAGAAAGAAGAAAGAAAACATAAAGAGGTAATTATACTAAAGGAAATGAAAGAGAGAAAAAAAACAGAGACAGAAAAGTAAGAAGACGAAAAAAAGAACATTAATTATAAAAAAATAATAAAAATAAGATAGAAACGAAAAAAAATAGAAAGGATGAAATGAAAGAAAGAAGCAAGAATATGAAGGAAACTAAACAGAGAAAAAGAGTAAATAAAAAAGGAAAAATAGCAAAAGATAGAAACGAAAGAATGACACAAACGAAAGAAAAACAATAGAAAAAAGAAACATGAGAAAAATACAATAAAGACAAGAATAAAATGAATGCAAGAAACAATAAAGACAAGAAAGAATTGAAATAAAGAAACATAAAAGAAACGAAAAAAGAAGACGAATACAGGAAACGAAAGAAAGAAGAAAAAAAGGAATGAAACTAAGGAACAAAGGAAACAGTTGAAAAAAATTAATAGAAAGACAAAATATAAAATAAGAAAATAACAGAGAAAATAAAGAAAAGAAGAAGAAGAAGAAGACGAAGAAAAAGAGCAAAAATATATGAAGAAGAAACGAAAGCAAGAAAACATTTTATTGTTTTGTTCTTTCGTTACTTTCTGCTTTCTGAGGAAAGAAACAAAGGAAATATTATGAAATAAATGAAAGACTAAATAAGAAAGAAAAAGTGACAAAAAGAGAAAATAAAAAAGATTGGAAAAAAACCCCAAAAGACGAGAGAAAACAAAAACGGTTAATATTCATACACTTTCCTAATTTAGCCTAAGGTTAGAATGACATCATGACACTTTCCACTGACAAAAAAAAAAAAAATTACATAGATAAAGCCCTTCGTAAAGTGTGAGCTGTACTTGTCAGAACAATTTTTTGTATCTCCTTGAGGCATGGACTTCCAGGAATCCCTTCAATTAGTCTACTGCAATCTTTTCCAGCCAGTCCTAGGGCTCCAACTACAACAGGGATTGTTGATGTTCCCATATGCCACATTTTCGAGATTTCTATTTCAAGGTCCTTGTATTTTAACAGCTTTTTGAATATCTTCAAAGATACATTGCAGTCAACGGGGACTGCCATATCAATAAGAAGGCACTTTTTTTGTTTGTGGTCTTTAATAACAATATCTGGGCGGTTATTATTATTATTATTATTATTATTATTATTTGTGTATATTATGTTTCCTGCTATTTGTGTATATTATGTTTCCTGTAGATCCTTGTCATTTAATTGATAGCACTTTTCTTAGTATATGGGATGTTCCTAGTAGGGCGATTTTCTGGGCAACCTCTATGTTGATACTACCTGGAACACTGTTAGTAAAATTGCCCCTTCCTTTTCTCACGAGTCCCAGTGCTCCGATTACTATTGGTACAGTCTCAGTCATCATTCTCTACATCCTGTTAATCTCGATCTGTTTTCTCAGATGTTACACTTCCTGAATTTCTTGTCTTTTATGATAATATCAGGTCTGGTGTCTTTTATTTCCCTGTCAGTTTGAATCGGCATGTCCCAGAGGATAGTTACATCGTTATTTTGGGTAACTGCGTCTGGGTTGAGGCTCATACCATCTCTCAGTGGTTTCGATTTTTGTGCTACTTGCATTTCTTCCAGTGCACATATGGCGCTACCTTGTTATGTCCCTAGGTATATTCATTTTTGCCAGTTCCGGACCTCCTGAGATAATATGGACGACAGTTTCATCATATTTTCTGCAGATCCTGTATTTCGGGTTAGTTCCAGCCTTGATTATGTGACAGTGATAAGATATGGTTACGAGGCTTTGGTCCTGAACTGCAATAATTAGGCTTTCTGTCTCAGCTTTCAGCCCGGTGCTCCTCAGGCACTGATGTGTTTTCTGTTGGTCCACATCTGCTTATTTCGTTCTTTTTAGGTATTTACCATGCACCGTCTAGTCCCCGACCCAGTTTCGTTGTAATTTTATTTAGCCAAATTGTTTTGCTTTTGCTTTACTTGTTTGACAGAGATGGTATTTGCTTCATTTTTTGTTCTTAGGGTTTTATGTATATTAAGCTGTTTCTTGAAGAATACAGCTTCTTTGTTGCTGGTGTTGTTGTTATTATTATTATTATTATCATTATTATTATTATTATTTTTATTATTACTATCATTATTGTTATTAGGCCCTGTCGACTTCAGCACTGAGCCCTCAGTTTTTTATATTTCAATCTTTTAGGTTATTTTAAGCTTTAAATTTTATTCTTAACATTCGCGTACATATATACATACCTATATATATATATATATATATATATATATATGAAGAAATATAGTCTTAAGACGTGCTATATTTATGGAATAAAGTGATCAATATCAGAGATAGAGCGTGTGTAAATATAAAAGTGAACATAGAAGTCAACACTTAGAGGCGACAGGCTGTTCCATGCTAGATTCAATCGTCAGTTCACAGAGATGGATTTGCTTCGTTTTTTGTTGTTAGGGTTTAATATACGATTGTATCTAGCATGAAACAGACTGGCGCCTCTAAGTGTTGACTTCTATATATATATATATATATATATATATATATATATATATAACAGTTGAATAAGACCAGGAAACAGTCGTATTAAAAAGTGATGAATACACGTATAATAAAAATAAAAATTTAGCATGCAGAGCATTTAAATTTAAGGAAATTAGGAGATCAGCCAATCTATATATATATGTATGTATGAGTGGACACTGGCGTCAACATCCAGAGGCTACAGTCTTTTTCATGATAAACACAATCGTCAGGCCATGTGTTTTAGCACGTAACATATGCTCTATCACTGATATTAGGACTTTCACCCATAAATATTTCATATATTAGAACTATATCTTATCACTCTATCTATCTATCTATCTATCTATCTATCTATCTATCTATTATATCCGGGTTTGGTCTATTTTATATACATTAACACAGGCTCTAATTTGGGACCAGAGAAAATCTCTCTTATATCCGTGTTTCTCTTATATCCGGGTTACACTGTATATATATATATATATATATATATATATATATATATTGTTTAAGATATTAAACTTATATCAATCTCTCTTCCCTCATATGTAAATAGGAATTTAAATAATATATTAATGTGTTTTTTTTCTTTTTGTCGTAGTAGTTTTTGTGGCTTGGTGTTGAAGATGTGAAAGAAATGTCCACAGTTCATATTCATCCTTGTCAATGTAACGATCTTTTCATTGGCTTCAATCATTATCAAGAAAGAATGGATCAAATCAGATGAAATTGAAAATCCGTGTCTTACTTTGCATCTTTGGTATATTTTAAAATTTTGGCAATTACTGAAGCCAGTCGAAAGTTCAGAACTTTGGCAAGAAATAACTTGATCTCCGAACAGTTGAGCTCTGCATATAATTCCTCGATACTGAAACTAATCCGGTAACAAAAAAACCTTTTTTAATATAAATGATAACTGAATGTTCGGTTCTGATATACTTGGCTACATAATCCCTGTTGCAGAAAGCTGCTCAAGCACATCTCTATTCTTTCAACACCCACAGAGTTTGTGCAGCAACTAAGTTTGGGAGACATTATTTACAGTTTCCTGGAGAGAAAGCATAATCTGTTATGATCATTGGCTCAAGAAAGCCAATAAAAACCTCGGTCACGATGACTTGTGATTTTGTGTCATTACAATCATTGAAACTTTGGAATAGTATTATCTACCCAATTTTACTCAAAAACTTGTCAATAAAACCTTGGTATAGATATACAGTACGAAACGAAAAAATGGACGCACCCATATAAAGTCGATTTTTGTATTTTTACCAAGACAAGTGAGTCATACAATACATTAATTAATACAGGGTATTAATACAGGTGTACATATGTAGATTCTACAAGTCAAAAAATGATTAACGATCCTAAATATATTGTCTTGAAAAATAAACGTTATCTAGCGAGGAAGCACGACGAGAATAAATTGCAACTCTTCCAGTGGCCTAGTCATAGTCCTGACCATAGCCTAATTGAAAATCTTTGGGCGATAAAGGACAAGCGTGCCCGTAATAGGAAAGTTAACACAGAAGATGAGCTTTTTTTGTGAATTAAAGAAATGCTGGAAAAATATGGCGAAGAACGTTGACTTACTAAAGAATTAAGTCTGTAGCATGCCACGAAGAATTAAGACCGTTATTAAAGCAAAATGTTACCCAACAAAATACTAAATCATTTTTGACTTCACTATTTACATTATTCGGACTATAGTCCTCATCTTTGTCGCCATGATTATCACAACGTCTCGGCCGTTGTACGCTCTGGCCTTCTTCACGTGGTTGGAATGTCCTTCCTGAAGAAGACCGGTGCGTACAACGGGCGAAACGTTTTGATAATCATGGCGACAAAGATGAGGACAATAGTCCGAATAATGTAAATAGTGTACATAATACCTTATCTCAGAAATATAGACACATTTTTGCCTTGTATAATGTACATATGTACATCTGTATTAATACCCTGTATTAATAAACGAATTCTATTATTCGTCTTGGTAAAAATAGAAAAAAACGACTTTCTATGGGTGCGTCCATTTTTTTTTTTTTTCGCCTCGGACTGTATTTCCCTCCTAGAAATGATGCACTTTAGGATCGTTGCTTTCAGGTTGATATTATCAAAAAGTCACTTTGTAAATCGACCCCTGAGTATATTACCAGCCCAGATTGCTTAGGGTTATTTTTAGCTGAACTGTTCTATACATAGGTTAAGAGAGTTTATTAACCCTGTGTATATAACAGTTCAATGTTCAATATACGCATAATATGTATGTTATTGTCAGCAAACATAATGGGGTTTATTTAAATGCGAATTGCTACCACAATCGTTGATGTCTCCCGAAACGTTCCGTTTATAGAATTTAGCTCATAACTCTTGAGTCAGCCTGTGGTATGGTTTTCAAACTGAGACCGCCTCTCCGTGCCGATATAATCAAAGACTCATTTACCTGACGAATCGGCTATGGTAAGACTCAAATTCGAAACACTAAATA